GTCCTGTGGCTGCCCCTGCCCTCCTCTTGCTCCTCTTCCTCCTCCTCCCAAAATGCCTGGCTACCTCTGCTTCACAAGTCATTATTCTCAAGATGTTTTTTTTTTTTAAAAATCCATCCTCCTGTGCTAAAAAAAAAAAAAAAAAAAAAAAAAGCAAGATGTAAACCTGTTAAGATGCAAAAAAAAAAAAAAAAAAAAAACCAAAAAAACCCCAAAAAAACCCAAGCAAGATGTAAACCTGTTAAGATGTATTTTGTAATAAAAACCCAGAAGGTTTTTATTGGATCCCCATCACTGATATTTTTCTATTTACAAAACCTCTAAATGCAATCGATGGCCGTGGGCTGGGTTGGCTCCTGCTGCAGGATTCCTTTCTGCAGGACATCTCTCCTATTCCTGTGCCATGGGAGACCCATGCTCCTGTGGCAGAGTGGTGACTACCACCTTGCCCTGTGGAATTCTCCTCTCAGATGGTTTTATCACCTTTGGAAGTGCCTGGTCCCTGCTTTTTAATGCCAGTGCCAATTCTAAGTCACCCAGACCATGGTGACACCATGGCTCAGCAGCACTGCTGGCACCGTCCTCCCATCCTGCCCCAGAGCAGGAGTGAAAAGAGATGAAGCAGAAAAGACATTTTAAGGAATGCTGCAGAATAAACATCTTTTGTGTGGCTTGGCTTCATCGCTCCCAAGAGTCAAGAGAGCTCCTGGAACCCAACGAGGAGATGCATGAAGAGGATGGAAGTTGTAGTGAGACTGCAAGAGGATGGGAGCCAGCACAAGAAGGGCAGGGAGCCCTGGGGGTGTGGGTGGCAGGCAGGGATAGGTGGGACCCACATCCCTGTCCTCCCACAGCTGTGAGCAGTGCCATGAAAAACAAAAATGCAATTGGAGAACAAAAGCTTGTATGGTGAGGGATGAGGCAAAGGTGGGAAGTGAAAACCTTGAGGTAGTGATAGGCAGGTGGAGATGAATCCTAGGAAAGTAAAGTGCTGGCTCCTCAAGCTGATCAGTAGGATCCCCTGGGAAACTGCCCTTGGGGATGAGGGAGCACAACAGAGCTGGCAGATCTTTCAGGATGCTTTTCATAGAAAGCAAGAACTCTCAATCCCCAGGTGTATGAAATCAGGCAAGGAAGGCAAGAGACTGGCATGGCTGAGCTGGGACCTGCTGGTCAAGCTGAAGGGGAAGAGGAGATGCACAGGCAGCAGCAGCAGGGACAGATATCCTGGAAGAGTACTGGGATACTGTCAGGTTGCTCAGGGACAGGGTGAGGAAAGCAAGATGCAGATGGAGCTGAATGTGGCAAGAGACTTGAAGAATAACAAGGGCCTCTACAGGTGTGTCAGCATGAAAAGGAAGGGTCAAAGCAGGGGTGACATAATTGGCAGACTGGTAACTATGGATGAGAAGGTTAAGGAAACCTCTCTTTCCATCTCCCATGAGCGGTGGAACCACAGGACAGGGACTGGAGGAGCAAAGTCCCTCCCACTCTAAGAGAAAATCAAGTTTGTGACCATCTGAGGAACCTGAATGAGAAACATCCGAGAGCCCAGAGGGAATTGGCTGATGAAGTTGCCAAGTCACTCTCCACAGTATCTGAAAAGTCCTGGCAGTCAGGTGAAGTCTTGGATGACTGGGAAAACTAAACCATTGAACACTGCCCTGTCAGCCTCCCCTCTGTGCCTGGGAACACCATGGACCAGACCCTCCTGAAACTCTGCGGGGGCTTATGGAGGACAGGGAGGTGACTCAGGACAGCCAGCCTTCACCAAGGGCAAGTCCTGCCTGGCCAGCCCAGTGGCCTTCTAGGATGGAGTGAGGACAGAGAAGGGTTCCAGGTGTCATTTGTCTGGACTTCTGTAAAGCCTTTCACACAGTCCCCCACAACACCTTTCTAAACTGAAGAGAGATGGATTTGAAACATGGAGTGTTCAGCAGATGAGGAACTGGTTGAACAGTCACATCCAGAGGGCAGTGCCAACAGCTCACTGTCCAGGAGAACATCAGTGGTGAGTGCTGTCCCTCAGGGGTCTGTCCTGGGACCAGCAATGTGGAGTCTCTTCACCAATGATGCAGACACTGGGATCGAGTCCCCTCAGCAGGTTTGCAGATGACACTGAACTGAGTGGTGAGGTTAACGTGCCTGAGGGACAGAGTGACATCCACAGGGACAGGGACAAGCTCAAGAAGTGGGCCTAGGGGAACCTCATAAGGTTCAACAAGGTCAAATGCCATGTGCTGCACCTGGGATGGGGAAATCCCTGGGATCCACAGGCTGGGAATGAAGGGATTTGGAACAGCCTTGCTAACAAGGACTTGAGAAAGAAATATTTTATGAGTGTGGTGAAACGCTGGCTCAGGTTGCCCAGAGAGGTGGTGGCTGTCCCCTCCCTGGAAACATTCAAGGTCAAGTCAGGCTCTGAGCAACCGGGTCTAGTAAATGTCCCTGCTTTTTGCAGGGGAGTTGGACTAGATGGCCTTCAAAGGTCCCTTCCCACCCAAATGTTCTATAAAGATCAAAAGGGAGGAGGGCAAATGGTTGGCTCAAGGCAATTTCTAAATTTTGGGGTCAAGCAGCAGAGCAATGACCTTTTCAAACACAGGGAAGAGCCAGTGCCACATATGAGGGACCCAGGCTCTTTAACATCTCCCCACCAGAGACTTTTGGAGGACATGGGATGACCACCAAAACTGTCAGCAACTGGAATGGTAGAAGGACTGAAGGAGAACAACAAGGCAGCTGGAATTTGTGATTAACACCATTCTGAAACAGCCAGCTGGGTATTCATGGATAAAACAGTTGATGTTTCATGCCTGATCTTCATGCCCTATTGCACATTCCTCAAATGCAGTAAGTATTGCTATCCCGTCCAGTACAAGGGGTTTTATTATGAGTCCCATATTCATAACATTAAGCATAAGGAGCACAGTGCAGGCCAGGTGAAATGTGCTTTCAACTGATGGTTCTGGGTCAGAAAGGAGGTCTGTGCCACATCCCAGCCCTGGGCCTGACCTGTCTTTGTAAGAGCAGCAGCCAGAACACCCAAAAGAAGGGAGCTGCCAGACCCACTCCTGCAGCACGTGGGGGGAATGCTCAAAACCTGGGATATGCCAACACCAAGCAGTGGTTGGAGCTTGTAGTATTTGATGAGCCTGTGAATAGAAAAGAGAGCTGCTGGGGAAGCAGGGAGAGTGTGGTGGCTGCAGGCCAGCCCAGAGCCCAAGGATGGAGGCCTACCACAGCTCTTGTCTCCAGAGTAAATCCTGAGCATCTTCTGGATCTCCCTCCTGGAGCCAGAGCTGGGGTGGGACGCTGCATGCCATGGGGCACCAGGGACCACTCTCATCCAGAGCAAATCACTCCAGGCAACGCCAGTATTTATTCCGTGAAAAAAATGAACTTACAGGATGTTTTTTTAATTACTAATTTGTTTTTCAGAGTTCGTCCTTTCATCTCTTAAATAAAACACAATGCAACTACTGAGCTGTTCTCTCTGGGATCGCAGAGCTGAGCTAAACTGCACCCCAAGATCTGTAAGAGCTGAAAACACGATTCTAAACTAACACTCTGTATCTCCACTTTGATTTTCAGTGATTGCTCTGCTTTTCTGCTGAATTAACTTAAACCAATTCTGCTGCTTTGTCTGGCTTGTGGGTGGAAAAAAACTGACTTGGGAGGAAACCTGAGCCCAGTCCTGCCCTCTGTGTGACACCACGTCTACACCTGTGGCCGTATCAGCAACGTGATCTGTCCACTGCCAGACAGGCTCCTCTTCCTCACCGCCTGCTACTGCATGAGGTGTCCAAGCCTCACATCCCTCTGCTCCCAGTCGCTCCCAGGGCTCTTGCATATCAAGGTTTTTCATGAGAAATCAGCAGCAAAACGCACAGGCTCTCAGTTGCACAAGGAAAATAGATCTTTGTTGGGTTCCTTATTCTCATGGAGGGCGAGGGTGTGGTGAGGAGGGTTACAAATAAGGCCTTTTGAGAATACATTTAGCATTCAATACTTAACGCTGTCTCAATAAAGTCCAGTCATGATCCGGCCCTGATCGGTGAGCTCACAAATAGCTCCACTGGTTGTATTTGTTTCATGAACTGAATCAAAGAAAAGGTTCTGAGTTGTGTTTTAAATTAATGACTCTGCTTTTGAAAGTTCAAACTATATTGGCATCACGAGGTTAGACATGGAGGAAACACCAAAGCTATGATGGGAGAGCGCTTCTGACAGGCTCTGCATCGAAAATGTTTAAGAAACTATTCAAAGGAAAAGTGAATAGCACTCAATGTATGAAATGTATTAGTTCTGGTTTTATACCTATTTCAGAATTTATCCCAGGTTCTTATAAAATATATAAAACTGAGATACAAAGAATTAGCAATGTAACTTTGCATTTCAAATGATCTTCAGCTACAGGTTTTGCTTTAAGAAAACAGACACTTGAAAAGCAGCTGTTCTGTAGTCTCTGGATGCAGACACTTGAGTTCCTGGCAAACTTACCATCAGTGGTTTTCTGAACTCCTCCACCATTGCAACTCTCTCCTATAATGAAACTCAACATTTCACCATTAAGTTTTTCTGCTCATGGTTTCAAAGAGAGGACGTTACCATTTCCCAGCATCGGTTTCAAAGTTCCTTTTTTTCTTTTTTTTTTCCCCTTTTTGTTTCCTTTTTTTTTCCTTTTTTTTTCTTCCCTTTATGAGCTTTAAACCACAGGGTGAATCCATGAAATGAGGTAAGTAAATTTGGCACACTTCTAGTCATGTCCATAAAACTTTTGGTAAGTTGTATCAGTGAACAATATCGTTTTTCATCGTGAGTTACAGGTGCTTTCAAAGGGGGGGTGGTTAGTACTTAACAACTGGAATGTTTCTAGTAAAACCAAAAGGCATAGCTGCAGAAAACACTCACAACCCAATGTTGATAGAGAAGTAAAAATATATACAATACAGTCACTTGTTCATAGTTTGGCACAATTTTTTGTTGTTGTGGGTAATAGTGCATAAACTACTGTACAACAGTATGACTTTTAAAACAGTCTTTCACAGAGAATACCAGATTAGGTTTGCTTTCAAATAATAAAATTCCCACAATTTCAAACTCTCCATTTCAGCACTTACATTTCAACAGACCACAAGGCAGATTTCGAAAAGGAACCGGTGGGGGGAAAAAAAAGAAAAAAACAACTGGAAAAAAAAATGGTAAGAAAAGAACCAAACATCAACCGTCTTTCTAGAAAAGGGAGTCTCTTCTTCAAATACAGGAAAACCCAAAAATGCTGTTTCTGCTTTAAGAAGAATGGAGTCTGATTCCCTGCAGGAAAAAATCAAACATTTGATGCCATCTTAGTTAGCTCGTCTGGAGTCACCACGACGGAGCGAACGCGCTAAAGGCGGGCGGGTAGAGAAGATGCAGCTTTAGATGATGCAGGTTAGGAGACACAACAGCAGAGGGGGCCAGAAAGCACTCAAAAATTGCCACGTGAAGCTCAATTAGGAACGAGTTCTCATTTGCAAAGTAAAGAGCCTTTAAGTTTTGAGATCTTGGCTTTTGGATGCAGAACCTCTTTTTTTTTTTTTTGTGGTTTATTTTTTACAAAATGTTCCAAAAAAAAAAAAAAGTCTTTCCTTGTCAAAATCATTAAAAAGAGCGTGTAATCTTTTTTTTCTTTTTTTTTTTTTTGTGGTTTATTTTTTACAAAATGTTCCAAAAAAAAAAAAAGTCTTTCCTTGTCAAAATCATTAAAAAGAGCGGGTAATCTTTTTTTTCTTTTTTTTTTTTTAGTTTTTGTTTTTCCCCCAATAAATAAGTAATTAAAAACTGAAGAAGCCAAACAGCAGAAAAGAGTAGCCTTGTTAGTTTTTTTAACCCCAGCCAAGCCAGAAAATTGGTCATTCTTTTAGGTAGCTTGCAAGTCATAAGTATTTTCATGCATTTAAAAATAATTTTAAAAACCAACCAAACAAAAAAAGAAACCAACCCCAAAACCAAAACCAACCAAAACTGCAAAAGGGGAATTTTTTTTTTTTTTTTTTTTTTTTTTTCTCATGCAAACTTTTGCTTTCAGGAAGGAAAAACTGAGGAACAGCGGGCCTAGCAGGTGGGAGGGAGGTTAGGGGCATTCCAGCCAGTTTGGTGCAGCATTACCTCAGTTTCTCAAAAGCAGCTGTCACGGGTGGGTCCTTGTGGGGCTGTTCGCGGTCCGTCCGCTTGATTTTACAGTTCTCATCCCTCAGTGATTTCGAACTGGATTTATGACGGTAGAGTTTTTTATGGGTAGGTCCATTATTGCCTAAAGTGCTCAGGTTACTATAGTTTTTATCAAAAAAGGGAGCATGAATGTCCGTGGTGAACCCGGTGGAGCAGTTGGGGCGACTGGGGTCGCAGGTCACAGCTTTGCTGTTTTTGCTTGAGCCCTTGTTGTTTGACTTGTGGTTCTTCGCCGCCCCCGGCGAGCCACTGTTCGCCTTCTTCTTCGACTCTTGGGACGTCCCTGCCAAAATTTTAAGAGTTTTCAGTTTCAGGCTGTTGGACTCCGGTGACCGGAATATGTCTGGAACACTGTTGTGGCTGACGGGCCCCCACAAGGGCTCAATGGAGGCCATCATAAACCTCTGGACATCGGCCATTCCCGACGCGATGTTGGACAGGATGTTGGAAGGTTCCTCGAACTCCCTCTGGTCGTCGTCCAGGAGGCTGGTGGCGTTGCCCAGACTGGCTTCCGACCAGCCCGTGCCCCCGTCTTTTCCCAGTGCCCACTCTCCAGAGAGCCCGTTGTGCTTGCCCAGCTTCACCCCTGCCGGGCCACAGTGCTGAGTGCCCTCGGCCACGCCCTTGGTGGCCGTGGCCACGGTGCCCAGCTGAGTGACCACCCTGCCACCAACAACTGGAGCCTTCTCGCCGTTGACTCCTGCTGCATTTTTCCCTTTCCTGGTGGATTTGGGTGCCTGCCTAGAGTTTTTCCCTTGCGGCTTATCGGTTCCTTTGTTGGTTTTGGGTGATTTTTTCCGGGTGGCTTTCTGGGAAGAGCTTTGGTTTGTACCCACATTCTTGCTGGATGAACTTTTCCTCTTCGATTTTGACACTTTGCTATTGGTGCTAATTTGACCAGATGGCTCATTAAATGTTGACAAGCATGGACTCTTTTCGAGAAGGCTGACAGAATCTTCATCATTGAACATATGGAACTGGAACTGGTGATTATTTAAAGCAAACCCATTATCTGCCTGATCCTCGGTCTGCAGGACCCCACAGTTCCACTTGACCTTCTCGGAACTGTTGAGGGAGGCCTGGGGGCTCTCCTGAAAGCCCTTCAGGGTGCCCAGAGGCTTGGCATCAGAGCCAGCTATCTGTGGGGACAGGTTGGGAGTGTCTGGAGGGGACATCTCCGAAAGTGACGACTGGCGGAACCTATCAGGTGTGAAGTTGGAAATGTCTAAAAGGTCCGTGGACTCCTTCAAAGGGGTGATTTCATCTATGCTCTGCTGGATCACTAGCTTGGGACTGCAGTGGGCCAAGAAATCATCATTAATATCATCCTCGCCATCCTTTTCACAAGACTTTAAACTTAAAGAACTGTAATTGCTAGAACTAACTGACAATGAACCCACTGAATCAAAACTAATGAGCCTGCCATCATCCGTACTGAGTGTACCTCGTTGGAAATGAAAGCGCCCCTCTCCATTATTGAAATGACATGACTGATAAGAATCATCAGACTGCACTTGTTGGCTATCCGGCATGTAATTTTTTTGGTATAGCAATTTGCCGCTATTCAGATTTACTTGAGTGTATCCAGAGGCGGGTAGGCCGTCCGTGCCTGGCGCAAACTCGCTCGGCATTCCGGCCGCCTCCGGCATGTCCCCGGGGAAGTCCTGGCGCTCGCTGCCCTTGCTGGCCGGCCACATGCTGCCGAAGCTGCCCTGCTCCATCTCCAAGTGGCCGGGCGACTGCTGCAGCTCCGACTCGGAGGGCGGGGAGAGCACGCAGCTCTGCGCCGGCTGCAGGGACGGGAAGGGCTTTTCCGGCGGGACGATGCTGGGGAGCGGCTGCTGCTGCTGCTGCTGCTCGGAGGGGTGCTGGGCAAAGTACGGGATACCGGTGTTGCTCGACAGATCTGAAGCATCTAACAACGTCTGCAGATACCCTCCAGGGATCAGGGGTACATTGGTGGTGATATTAGCAGATGGCAGAGGCTTGTCTGAAGAGGAGGTGGATGGTAGGAAAGGAGAATTTTTAGCAACCTTATCCTCGTGGCACTCTGGGAGATGGGAGCTGTCTGAAGCACAGGGACTGTTTTCGTCCTTCAGACGCGCTGCGGAGTCCTGGTTTTCCAGTGCTGGGGAGTCCTCTGCCGTACTGGTGGCAGCTTTAATCTTCTTGCACTTCAACCTGGCTTCACTTTTGAATTTGATTCTGCGGAGCACTTTCCGCTCCGTCCCCTTGTGCTCCCGCTCCTGTGGTTTGCACTTCACGGCGATGCCCGCGATGTCGTGGACGTGTAATCCGTTGGCACAGCTGGGGGTGGCAATGGCTAATGCCGGCAGCCCTTTCAGGCCCACGTCCTCCTTACTGCTGCAAGGCTGCTTGTGATCAGAGGAGCAAGAGCCCAGCTTGTTCACTGATTGCTCGATGGCTTTAATTCTTTGAATCCGGTGCCTGTTTGCTAGCTTGCATTTTCGCTTCCGTGGGTGAGGGAGGAACGAAGCATCTGAGCCATTAAGATAGAAATTCTGCTTGTGGTAGAGAGACGATCTGAGCAAATCCAGCCGGCTCTGCTGCCTCTCCTGCCAGAAGCCCTTCAGTGGGGCCAGCTTCTTGTATTTGCTGAGCAGCTCCTCGTTCAGAGTAACAGTTGTCTCGTTGGCATCCACTTTGCTGAGCTTCACCAGCATATGCTTCTCCCCTTTAAACCTGTTAATGATGATGTACTTGATGATCACGGGGGGCTCCTTGCGAGAGACTTTTCGCCGTTTCTTGGGGCACCACTCGTCGTCGTCCTCCTCCTTGGGCCCATCTGGGAGCCACTCCTTCTTGTCCAGGATCTTCTCGTTCTCGATGGAATCCACATCGTACAGGTAGTCGTCGCTGTATCGCACTTTCCTCTTTGCCCGCAGCCCGTAGTTCTGCTGGATGAAGGAGCCGGAGTGGTCCCGGGCCAGGTACCGGCTGCAGTCCTTGATGTCCCGCAGCACGTCGTAGGAGGACTCCGTGCAAGTGCTGTCATCGCTGAACTCCCCGGAGTCCTCTGTGGAATTCACCGAGTCCAAGAAGTGGCTCCTCTTGGAGCCCACGTACTGCACCATCTCTGTGCTGTTGCAAGATTTATTTAAGGCAGCTTTCTCCTCCTCCTCACCGTCCTCTTCCTCGCCGTCCTCCTCCTCCTCCCCCCAGATGATGCCTTCCTCGGATTTGAATTGAGAAGGGTCGGTGGCACCGCTGGGCCCCCTTTTCAGGGTGCTCCTGCTGTCCCTTTTGGTGCAGTTGCTGAACACGCTGGGGAAGAAGTTGAATTGGGCATCCTCTTGTAGTGTGGTGGTCTTCTCCCGCACATTGTCCTGGAAAGATTCGTATCTAATCTTTAGGGAGCAGACATCACTTCCCAAGGTGGAATCGTCATCATCGAACATGTAATTGTCCACGTCTTCCTCAGAAAACAGATTTACAGAAAGCTCATTTTTGGAGCAGAGGTCAAGCAGCTCAATTTTACTTTCACTAATGAAAGATTCAAAATAGCCCCATTCCTGGTTGGGATTTGTTAGTAAAGGTTCCTCACCATTGCATTTGTCTAATAGTAATCCCTCGTAATAATTTTTCTGAGTGGGGTCCTCTGAATCACTGTCAGATTTCTCTGCATCTCTTTTGTCCGCTGCCCTCGATTTATGCATAGGGAAGCTTAAAAGCTGGTCTGAAAGCAGTTGATCCCCATATCTCATGGTTTCTCCTGTGCTCATGCAGTGAATCCCTATATCAGAGACCGAACAGGTGTCATAATCCCTATTTATATCCCCCACTTTCAAGCTTATTCCCGGCTCCGCATCAATGCCGTCCTTGGATTCAATAAAGCAGCCCAGACAGGTCCGGCTCGGCTGCATCAGGCAGTCTCCCGTCAGCGCCGACATCCCCCCGGGCTCCATCATGGTGAAAGGAGCCTTCTCGCAGTCGCCCGGCAGCGACCAGGAGCTCATGCCCTTGGTCACGCAGGACGTGAGGGAGATGGCGTGGGCGGAGGAGTCGTCCGAGGCGTGCTCGGGGACATCGGTGAGGCGCAGCGGGGACGGGGGGCTCAGCAGGCAGGGCTTCTTGGCCGCGGGGGCGCGGTGGCACGCGGGGCCCTCCTTGGGAGCCGCGCTCAGCGCCGGGAACGGCGCCGCTGCCTCGGCGGCGCTGCAGGGCCTCTCATCACCATCCAGGGCGTGCGACTCTGCGGGGATGGAGGGAAGGGACAGAAAAGAGAGAGGGGTTACCACCCTTGGAGGTAGAAAAAGAGAGAATGTTACAAAGGTTACCACCCTTAAAGGTCTCAGGCTCGCCACCCTGCTGCCCTTCTCCCAGTGACTTTTCCCAAGTGCTCCTTTGGGAAGCCCTTCCCAGCAATCTTGCATCCAGTTAACGTGGTGATGTGCGTGGAAGGCAGAGGTAAACAGGCTGCTCCCCGCAGCCAGCTGGAAGAGGTACAAGAGTACGTTCAAAACACGCACCGCATCCGCTCTTCCCTCCTCATATCCATACGGTTACCTGGAAACTGCCTCTCAAACCTCACAATGTTATTAAAAAAACAAAACAAGCCTAATAAAAATGTTCTCATTAACATTGAAAAAATTAACAGGAAAGTGAGATTCTTAAAGAAACAAAGCACCCCCCCTGCGGGGTCTGAGCTCGCACACACCTGAGCTGCTTCACTGCTCCGGAGTCAGGGAGTGATGGCTGGTTTTAAAAACCCAGCGGTCTTTTTGTCACCGTCCACGCCAAGGGAAGGCAGAAGATAACACAGAGTTTAAAGCAATTATTGTTAGAATTATTGTGGGGTTTGCCATTCTTCCCTAATCGCTAAAAATGCCTTTTTAGTCATGTAAGGATTTTTTAACCTAAGGATTTTTTTAGTTTTACCTCGTTGCGCTTCTTTTATGGCAGAATAAAGTTATGAATGTACTTTTATCTGACTCCTGGCTCAACGGACGGTATGACCCTTGAAATTTAAATACGATGTCTTTTCATCCATGAACACGCTCTGATATCTCTGTATTAAAAAAAATATATATTCCAATGAGTGCATTCATCCCAGCCAGAGAGCTCTGCCGACTCGGAGCCTGGTGCTTTTGTCACAGCTCAGGTCTTTCCTTTTTGGTGGCTCCGCTGAAGGCAGAGGGGTGAGAGCCAAAGCTTTCCAAGGAGGGACAAGTGCTTTAAAACACAACTGGAGCAGCAGCATGTGGCATTAAATGGGGCATGCAAAGGGATTTATTTGGCTGCTGCGACCCTCCACAAGTGCTCTTATTCCAAACTGAGAGGAAAGTAAATCTCCTGCATCCTTGGCAGCCTGGGGAGGGGAGGCTGGTGCTGGCACAGGTACCACCAGCACAGTGGAAAACCCCCCAGGGGCAGAGGATGGAAAGGAACAGGATGCCATGGAAGGAGTAGGGTGCCAAGCAGGAGGTCAAAATCCCCTAATTCATTCCTATAAGTTTTGTGCTACAGGGGCCTTAGGGATGGAGCCGTCAGTGAAGTCTGAACAAAGCACAAACTGCAGCTAGAGCCTCACAGCACTCCCAGGACTTTAAACCTTTTCCCAAAGACTCCTTAACTCCAACCAAAAGTGCAGTGCAATGACTGTCATCATCTTCAACATGAACGACTTGGGAAAGGCCAGACTGGATTGCTTGAAAATGGTTAAAAGAAGGAAATAAATAAAAAAGCTGATTTTTGAGTCCCTCCCACCAGTCTTCAGATCAGAAATGCAGAGGTGGTATCGTTTTCCTTAAGCACCAAAACAAATTAACCAGTGCAGTTCCACTTCAGAAGTAAAATAAAATAAAAATCAGCTTGGAGCTGACAGGAAGCATGGAAAATTTGAGGATAAAAGAAGAATGTCTGTGAATGCTGTAAGACTCAAAGAAGGGGGAGGCAGAAAGCTGAAATTCAATCTCAAAAGCTGCGTTCAATAGGCAAAGCTGCTATTATATAAAATAAACCCTCTCTGGGCATTTCTTTAGGTTTATACTTGTGTGAGTGAACTGAACTCTTGTGAAATACAAATGCCAAAGCCTGATTTTCTGGGACTCCATATCAGCCTAAAATCAGGCCCATGTTCAAGTGATGCTCCAAGGGAATGCAGCTCACACAGAAAATGCTGCAGAAGCAAAACCACTTTTCCCAGTTTCCCTCAGCATCCACCCAAAAGCACACGGGCAAGGGGAGGTGGCAGCTCCAGAGCTCTGTGCTGGCTCCTGGCCTTGGATTCAGCAGCAACTCCCACACAGCAGTGTTCAACTGAAAGTTTAAACTGGCAGAGGGGAGGCTGGGATGGGATGTGGGGAAGGAATTCTCAGCTCTGAGGGTGGGCAGGCCCTGGTACAGGTGCCCAGAGAAGCTGTGGCTGCCCCTGGATCCCTGGAAGTGTCCAAGGTTGGATGGAGCTTGGAGCAACCTGGAATAGTGGAAAGTGTCCCTACCCATGGCAGGGAGTGGCACTGGATGGGCTTTAAGGTCTGTTCTAACCTAAAGCAGAGTTATGTGTAATTAAAGCACTTTTTAAGCCCTGTTTAATTGAATTCCATGGAATTGGTGTGAGGTTCTAAAAATCCCCTCCTTACTGATCAGGGCAGCACTGACTTTGTTGTCCACTGGATCAGACAAAGGGACCACAGCTACAAAATCCCTTTGCAGCTCCAGCAGCTGCAGCTTCACCCTGTATAGTCAGGAAGGGGATGGGCTGACAGGGACAGCTCCCAAATTACAACCCAGGGGCAAATGTGAGCATGTGCCTCACCTGCCACCAGCACGAGCTCTGGGGCCCTCATGGGCACCCACGTGGCTGGAGCTGCTCCAAGGTTTTGGCAAAGAACATTTGTCTCTACCACCTTGTTTAGAGCTGACAGAAAGATCTGAACATATGTCAGAGGACCAAGTCCTTGACATCTAACAGGATCAAATTTATATATATAAGTAAAATATATCTATCTATCTATCTCAAGATTTATGGGCCAATACAAAATGTAAAAAGCCATGAAATTAAACATAAAACACATTGAAGAATGAAAGCATCAGGCTCTGCCTCCCCTCTGCATTTACTGTGGCCAGAGATTACAGTCCAAATGACCTCAGAAAATGCTTGGAGGCTTATTTATTTCAATCAGGGTTTCAGACAGCTGAGCACTGTTACTCCTAATTAGTTATTCTGAGAGCAAATATGGAATCAATGAAATAGATATGAAGTTGGGTGTTCTGGGAGGCTGCTGCAAGGGGCTGATCCTTCCCCGGCCCTGCTGGTGGCTCCCAGGAACACCACCTGTCTGTGCAGAAAAGGGATTACAGGACAGGCAATCCCATGTGCTGGCTGATGGGACACAGGCAAGAACGAGCTCACAAATCCAACCTTCCCTTCCCACTAATCCTGGTTCATTCTCCCACCCAATCTCTAATTTTCCCCCAGTTTGTAGGGACTAAGTAGCCTTCAGCTAAATCTTGCTAATATTGGATTGTAATGCCACAAGAGGGAAATATTCCCAACAGAAAGAGGGGCTACGAAGTCCTGGATGCCTTTTTTCCCCAAGAAACCAAACAAAAATCTTTAATTCAAACCGCATGTGCACATCAACATTTCCAGCCATACCCATGCACAGGTAATAGCAGTTCTTGTTAAGGCCTAAAAAGGTGTAGATTTATGGCTGGAATGATTCCTGTGCAGAAAACACCCATTTACTCCCCTGCTCCACATTGCAGAGATACCCACAAACTGCTAATATTAAAAGCACAAAAGGAATTAGGAAAATAAGTTGGCTTCCAAGTTGTCGCTGCTCCCTCATGTACCATAATTAAGTTCCTTACCATTTTCTTTCACCCCATTAATCAGGATAGTTTCTTGGTCTTCTGAGGCACAATCCTGCTCTTGTTGGTCATCCATCAATTTAACCTCTTTCTGTTCACTCCATGCCCCACTGCATCTGGCCAACCTGCACATTTCCAGAAACACAACCACAGTCAGTGCAATCCCCAGGATCAGCTCAAGGAACCGTGAATAAAAAATAACAACAATAAAACACCCCCACACAGCCTCACACGCTGCCTGCATCCTCCTTAAGAGGACAAATCCAATTTATTTAGGCTCTCAGCTTGTCACTTTTCCACTCCAAAAGCCAAGTCCCATGTATTTTCAGCAAGGTGAAAATGTTGTGTATCAGCATTTCCTTCCCCCAAGTCCTGCTCTGGGAGGTGGAGAGGTGCTCAGCACCTCTGCAGGACCTTCCACATCACCCAAAATTGCTGTGCAAAGGCACATTAGTCGTGTCCAGCCAGGAAAGGCCATCCATCTCCAGATGGATCAGTGGAGAGATGAAGGAGACGATTCATCCCAGTTCATCAACAGCAGCTCTGTGACGGAGCTGGAAAAAACCACAGATGTGGAGTGACAGCTGCTCACCCTCACTATCAGCCACTGCCCTTCCAGCGCTGGCAGGCATGAAAAACTTCCCCAAAAAGCAGTTTGTTGTGGAAAAGAATCTCCAGCCTCACTGTTCACCACAGGAGCCCCGTCCCTGGAAGCCTCAGACCCCTCAGAGTGCCCCCACTGCCCCCAGCTGGGTGAAGCTCCAGCTCCAGGGAGGGATGAGCAGTCCAGGCTGGCTGGGCTTGGTGGGGCTTCACCAGAGCAAAGAACCTGAGCTGAGGATCCAGCCCAGATCTTCCCAATCCTCCCCTGAGGGCCCCCCACCCTTCAAAGCCCCCACCTGCCTGCAGAGGAAGAGTGATGTGGCTGGAACCCGGGCATGGCTGGCACTGGAGAACCCTCATCAGTGCTCCTGATTGACAGCATTTCACCTCTTTGATTGCAAATCCAAGTCAAAATCTATTTTATGCCCTTCTGGCAACTCAAACTCAATTTCTTCTCTCTCACAGAACAGGTACTAGATTGCAGCATTGGTTTAGGTGTTTTTCTGGGTTTGGGGTTTTTTTTGTTTGGCTTTTTACTTTTCACATCAACATTTGTCAGTGTCTGCTGTTCCCACAGCACTCATTGCCCTGGGGTTCAGCAGCCAAACTTCATTCATATTCAGATTTGCAGTGGAGTCCTCTTAATTAACGTGAAATCTTTACAACCGCCTTAGTAAGTGAAACCTTCACCCAACTTAAAGATGTTGTGACACCGAGAGGAAGATAAGAATAACAAGCATCAGTAACTCCATTCCTTTGCATATTTAGAGGAATATTTAACTAACCCCGAGAGTTTTCCTTTGATGCAAATCCCCATCTCAAAGCTCTCCAACACCAGCCTGTTCACTGTGGTAAGACCCTTCTCCTGGCAGCACCCTCCCCACAGCCTGAGCTCCCTCTGTGCCCTTCCATTGCTGACAGGCTGCAGCAGGAGAGGCTCCAAAAGCCAGAGCAGAGATCAGAGTTATTTTTCCATGAAGGAGATTAATGTCTGAGTGTGGAAGGTGCTCTGCATCTGCCACTGACAGGCTACAGCTTCGTGTCTCCTTGATAATATCTCCTGCCTGTTAAATGTGCCTTAATTAATAGAAGTATTAATAAATTAAGTTTTTAGAATATCTATTAATGAAAATATTAATAAAATATCCTCAGCCTCGGGAGAAGCAGAGGGGTCTCAGGAGAGCAGGAAACCACCATGGGCTCCACACATGGGCCAGTGGGGCTGCTGGGGAGGGGGCTGAGGTGTCACAGAAAGGTTTGGGTGGGAAGGGACATTAAAGCCCATCCAGTGCCACCCCCTGCCATGGGCAGGGACACCTGCCACTACCCCAGGCTGCATCCACGAGGAAGGGGTCCATCTTTCCTTGATTCTGATGGATACTGGAGGGCAAACCTTCATGGAGAGAGCAGGACAGACAGGGGGTGAGCAATGAGCACACAGGCAGCCAAGTAAAGGCACAAAGGGACAGTTTGCAGACCCTTAATCTCACAGTATTATGAATTTTTGGGATGGGTGTGCACAAGGGGGAGGGAAGCACACCAGGAATGTTCCTGGTGGATGAGATCCAAAGGCTGGAGAAGACAATGAAGGCAATGAAATGCAGCAGCAAAGGGGATGTGCTTGGGGACAAGCGTTTTCCTCGACTGCAGAGCCCCAGAGAGCAGAGCTGAGCTCCAAAAACTCCTGGGAAGAACTGAGAAAGGTCCATCTTCCCACAGGGTCACACAGAGACGAAGTACAGATGGGACAGACAACCCAAGTTTGCTGAGACCTTTGGGACCAGTGTGACCAGGAGAGACCCCAAAAGGGACAGGGAGAAACAGCAGCAAGGGGAGAAAAGCTGACAAAGGGGCTGGATGTGATGCAGAGCAGGAAGGAACAGAAGGCTGGGGATAACAAAGAGGAGAAGAACAGCTGGTCCCAGGCAAGAAAAATTAAATCAGGAGAGGTGCAGGGATAAGGACAGTGTGCAGGGAATACACTGGGTAGCAGGAGAGCACAGAACACAAGAGTCATCTGCAGACTGAGGTATAAAAGGGAGAGAATTCAGATTTCAGATGGTGTCAGGCCACTGAAGAGAGGCACTGCTGGGGTCACGATATTATGAAGAGCTGGCAGGAAGAAAATCAGGAGCTCCAAGTTGATGAACTTGACTGGAGCCAGAGTGGATGGAGGAAGAGGATGGTGGGTGGAAGGGATGGGCAAAGACGTGGGGTCAGATGAACTGCAGCCTCTGGGGAGGAGGGCAGGAGCTCGGGGGTCTGCCTGTGCCTCAAGGACAGGCACAGCACGTTCAGTCACAGGGAAGGATTCAGAAGCACTTTTGCTGATTGCACCATGGACTTCAGGGCACTGGCCTGCTAAGATCACAGCTGGCACCACAGAGAGTCACTGGCTAGCAAGGAGATGGAGGGGAAGGAGCAACAGGAAGCAAGCAGTGGAGCTGAACAATAATCCAACTCGTTTTAAGCACAAGATGGACAAATTAATGGACAGAAGGCCAGGATGCAGAGCTGTGGTAGCAATGCACAGGGCTCGTTGACCTGGAGAAACCCCTTGCAGCCCTATGGCTCAGGTCAGGTGAAAGTCTGCAAGTGCCTCTAAAAACCCTCAGCATCACAGCTGAGGAAATTCCCCATTCCTCACAATTCCTGTCAATTTTCCTATTTCTAGTGCTAACAGGGCCACATAAAACCTGTTAGTAACCAGCCCACGTGCACAAAATCACAGCACCACAATGGACCCTCTGCCACAAACCTCCTGCTGCCTTCGAGCAGGTCCTTCAGCCCACGGAGCCAAGAAACCTGAGAGATGCTTTTTTTCTCTTTTAAAAAACCCTCCTGAGACACTGAAGAGGTTTTATGGGTGCTGGGGTTGCTGGAGTGAAGGCAAACGTGGTTGGAAAATGATGTCCCAGCTGAGGCTCCAGCAGCTCCCTCTGCTCCCAACACAGAGCAAGGTCCTGCTGGAATGTCCCCCTCACCAGTTCCTTGGAGTCAAACTGGATTATTTCTTGTTCTAGAAGTTCCTAGACTTGCAAAATCCCAGAATGATCAGGGCTGGAAGGAAGCACCCAAATTGCAGAGCTAAAAATCCTGGACATGCTCCCTCACTCACCTCCAGCCACATAAATGATGGACCTGCTGATCACTTAAGCCCATGCAAACTTTAGGATTTAAGCATGTTCCTGTTAACACTGATTTTACAAAGACAAAAGGGGAAATGCCATCCTTTTATACAACCAAAAAATGCATCTGCTCAATGGCTGCCCTCTACAAAGAGAACAACAAGTTGCTTTGCTTCTTTGTCAGCCAGAAAATGCCATTTTCTGCTGCAGCTTTTCTGAATGGATGTTTACAAAGCACACAGGTCCATCACTTCACTCTGTCAGGGGTGCCTGGGGAGGTGACATCCCCTTCAGCCTCTCCAGCTCCACAGGTCCCCAGGTGCCAGCCCAAGGAGGAATTGTGCCAAGGGACCTGCTGGAGAGGTCTCCTCCCCCCAGGACTCCCTGCAGGCTCTTCCTTGGGAAGCAGCAGTGATTTGGCTGATGGCATTTCCCAACAGAGCCAGGGATGGTCACAGTGATGCCCTGGATGCACTCAGAGGGGATAAAACAAATGAGTTGGTCATGTCACAGAATCCAGTGCTGGGACACTTAAATCTATGGATCTACATCTCAATACAATACATAAATACAAATATTTATCCACTGCTGCTTGAACACCACCTCATTCATATTTCTTGGGTATCACCATTACACCAGAGAGCTCAATACTCTGCCCAGGCAGAGGAGGGAAAAAAAATCCACCAGGTAAAAATAAGAAACATCCCATGAGCCCATGGCTGAAAGCCCAGCTGCACACGTGGGAATTCTGGGAGGTGGACAAGGTTCTGTTGGCTGCTCTGGAATTAAAGTTGCAAGAGTGTTTTACCTTCAAGCTGAATAGACAAAAAGTCACTCACACCCAGACAAAAGCCAACATGCCAGCTCCAGTTTACACACAGCTTCCACATCCTGAGTGTTGTAGCTCACGAGGGGAATGGAGAGGGAGTATCCAAAGTGAAGGAGAATCTTTCTATGGAGAAATGGGGGAAGAAAGCAAAGAAGAAGAAGAAGCTGTACCTTTTTTTTTTCCTGCAGAATTGTGAATAAGTGCAGGTGTTCTATATATGCAGTTGTATCTTTCAGAAAAAGAGCTTTAGAGAAATTAATTACATGTCAGAGCCTCTGACAGGTCTTTTAAGAATTGTGATACTTTTGAATGAAAACATTATATACTTAAAAAGAAATACCATGTAAATGTCTCCGAGATATTTACAGTCAGAGGAGTAATAGTAGGAGAGGATTCAGCTCTCCCCTGGATGGGGGATGCTGAACACACCATGCTCCTCCTAACCAGATCTCCTGCCCCTGCAGGACCTCAGCCACTGCTGCAGAAGCTCAGAGCAGAGCTCAGGGCAGGAATTGGCTGGAGCAGAACCCAGGCTCTCCCCAAAATGCTGAGCACCTGTCAGTGC